ATTGACTTTCACAGTGAGAGATGAAAACCAGTAGCCATTGACTTTCATAGTGAAAGATAAATACCTGTAATCATTGACTTGTATAGTGAATGCTGAAAACCGGTAACCTTTGACTTCCACAGTAAAAGATGAAAACCGGTAACCTTTGACTTACATAGTGAAAGATGAAAACCGGTAACCATTGACATTCATCCATAGTATTTGAAAGCTGAAAACAGGTAGCCACTGACGTCCAAAGTGAAAGCCGAAAATCTGTAACCATTGACTTCTATAGTGAAAGCTGAAAGCCGGTATCCATTGTCTTCCATAGTATTTGTTTTCCTACTATGGAAGTCAATGGTTACCGGTTTTCAGCTTTCTTCAAAACACATCTATTTGTGTTCAACACATGAAAAATAAATCTCATGAAGGCTTGGAAACGCTCGAGGGAGAGTAAATAGAGAGTAAAATTTCATTTTTTGGGTGAACTATCCCTTTAACGTGCATGTTATCAGCCCCCTCTTTTCCTAACTGATTTTGTGTGTAAATATGAACAGATACACTGGGTGTTTATTACACAGACACACTTGCATTTCAGTCTCTGAGCTCAGCTGCTGTATTCATGCAAAATCCAGAGCGAGAGACTCTTCAGCTGATTTCAAAACACTAAGAGGATCAATTGAAAATAAATGACAGTAAATGATGATCCCCACCGTCCTGTAATCATATTGCGGAAAAAAAGATTCAATAAAAATGCTCTCTCTGTTCTGCGTTTCATCACGAAGCCCTCCAAACTGAATGCTGCTAATATCAACCGTAATGAAAGTTATAAATAGTATGTTAATGATCACCGTGATTATTAATATTGCGGCAAGGCTGATAATGGTGACAAAGAGGATGAGAGCACATGTTGACAATTATCTCACTGGTTCTGGCTGTAATTACATGTAATGAAATCTGAGCTGTAAATCACTTGGATTATATTCGTGCCGCTGGTACCGCTCTGGTGTATTGTTTACTGTATGCACATTTTACGCATGAAAAACCTCTACAAAATGATGAGAATTGATGTGAATGGAAAGTAAACAATGAGCAGATGCTTTGTTTTGTTTATAAAATAATATTTTAAGTTAGGGTTATAATTTTGTTACATTATATTTTGGTTACAATGGAAGGGCACATATGCACGTAAAGGTATACAACAAATGACATGTAATAGATTTATTATTCATTCATTTTCTTTTCGCCTTAGTCCCTTTATTAATCTGGGGTCGCCACAGTGGAATGAATCGCCAACTTATCCAGCAAGTTTTACACAGCGGATGCCCTTCTAGCAGCAACCCATCACTGGGAAACACCCATACACTCCCATTCACACAAATACACTACGGACAATTTAGCTAACCCAATTCACCTATAGAGCACACTGTAAAAAAAAATCCGTAAAATTTACGGTAAAAAAACGGCAGCTGTGGTTGCCAGTACTTTACCGTTAAAAACACGGTACAAACCGTAAAAGTAATTTCTCGTTTTTACGGTAAACTACCGTATTTTATACATTTATAGAGGTAATATGTCTGTGTTTTGAATGACCAACATTTAAACATATTTTGTTACACAGTTAGACACGTTAGCACACCCACATGCAGGTGGTGATGAGGAAGTTACATAATGAGGCAATGCTCATCACAATCAACATTTCCCACAAGCAGAAAAACAGTACCAGCATATAGAAGGTGCTCAGTGTCATTCACACAGCTACTAAACACCAGTATGGTAACACTCTTAAAATAAAGTCATGAAATAAACATTGTTTATCAACATTAGATGTAACATAAATCTCTAATGTACATAACTGATGGGGAAACAACTAAAAAGATCCATATTAATGTCAACAAAATGCATAAAAAGTGATCTGCCATGCAGGGAATTCTGCGAAAGTCAATTCACGGTTATTCGCCGTGTATATTAAGGAAATATACTGTTAACCAGGTTACGGATTTGTACTGTAGCATTTTTACAGTTTTTTACCGTTAAAATCACGGCCATTTTTTACAGTGCATGTGTGTGGACTGTGAGGGAAACCGGAGCGGCCGGAGGAAAGGAAACTCACGCCAACACCGAAATGACAACTGAAAAAGCAGAGGACCGAACCTGTGAACCTTTCTTGCTGTGAGGCAACGACGATACCCACTACGCCAGTGCGCCGCACATAGATTTATCAAACATTTAGGGCTCTATTTTGACGATCCATGCGCAAAGTGCAAAGCGCAGGGCGCAAACACATTCAGGGCGCGTCAGAATCCACATTTGCTAATTTAAGGACAGAAGAATCAGCTTTGCGCCGTGGCGCATGGTCTAACAGGGTTGAGCTTATTCTCTTAATGAGTTATAGGTGTGTTTTGAGAATAAACCAATCAGATTATCATCTCCCATTCCCTTTAGGAGCCAGCTGCGTCGCACCATAAGTGCATTTGCTATTTACACGACTTAAAGTTAGTGTAAGTAGAATAACTGAGCATTTCACTAGCAAGAAAACAGTTAAACAGAGCATCTACAATGAATGAGAGATAAATGAGAGATAAATTATTAACTTTCACTTTCGCTCTTGTGATTATGGAAAACTTGTACGCCCAGACATCCATTAGCCTACATAATTAATTTTGTTTGTTAAACGCAAAGATTTGTTTTTATTAAATTTATTTAATTTTATTTCTAAATTCAGTTCTAATTTCCAGCAAACGAATAAAAGAACAATAAAAACGAAGCGTGCTCAAAACACTGAGTTATATCCTTAGATACACGCTCTGCCCCATATGGTCTAAAACCTGACAGGTGGTGTCGTATTTCGACTTCTTATCAATTAGAAATTATCAGACAGGAGGTTTTAAAATATCAGAAAATAGACCTTATTCTCCATAATAAAGCTGAGAAAGAGCAGAGCAGACCCCAGAGCATTCTGAAGTCTCTCCTGGACAATTCCTATCTTTAGCTCTCTCTTTCTAAAGTCTCTGTGTTTTCCACAATCTTTATAGAGGTTATTTGACACACCCCTAGGTGTCTCATTTTAACTTTTAACCATTTTAGGATAGGTTTTTACTCTAGGTGGCTCTGTTATTCTTGGCTCTCAGCCAGCTTGCTATGGTCAGCAGAGATGTCACAGGTCTATGTCATGTCAGCAACTGTTTTGAAAACAAAGTTCTCTCCATAGATGCAACTTATCCAAAAGGACTAAGTGTTTACATGCATTGTCATGATAGCATAATCACTTGATAACATGTTACTCACTCTAGCTTCATATATAATCAGAGCTTTACATATTCAGTTATTCTACTCAATCAGTCTTCTTCAGCATAGCCTTCTCCCAGTGTTGCTCCTGTGCAGGCATACTCATCTTACACCGTATTTTTAACACAGGCTGGCATGTTGCTGCAAACCCTCCATACTTTTTGAGAAGAGAAAATTAACTGCTTTACACTTAGAAAATACTTCACATTGAGAGAATAAAATCTTATTCAGTGGGCAAATCTAAGCTTGTTTTTAATAAAACAAATATAAATATGGATTTAATAAATAATACTGCTAATAATAATAACATTTTACTAAAGCAAATTGTTTTGAATTAAATAAAAAAGCCTCCCGAGATGAGGAAGGCATTAAAGTATGTATTTTATATTTATGTAGGCTAGAAAATAATGTTTTGTAATATTTTAATCCTTTGTATTTATATCCTATATATATATATATATATTATTATATTCTTACATTTATTCCTATTATATTCTATATATATATTTTTTTATTATTCTTATATTCTTACATTTATTCCTATTATATTCTATATATATATATATATATATATATATATATATATATATTCTTATTATTCTTATATTCTTACATTTATTCCTATTATATTCTATATATATATATTCTTATTATTCTTATATTCTTACATTTATTCCTATTAAATTCTATATATATATATTCTTATTATTCTTATATTTTTACATTTATTCCTATTATATTCTATATATATATATTCTTATTATTCTTATATTTTTACATTTATTCCTATTATATTCTATATATATATATATATATATATATATATATATATATATATATATATATATATATATTCTTATTATATTCTATATATATCCTTAATATTTTAATTATTTTTCATTTGTAAAAATATTTGCGTATTGCTCTACATTTTGTGTGTATTAAGCAGTGTGTAAGCGCACAACTAATGTTACAACAATGGCAAAACCGGCTTTGTTCTGGTCAATTGAAAAATCTATCATAGTTTCTCAAAATAGCAACGCGCCAGCAATTCACCTCAGAACGCCTTCCTTTTTAGACCAGAATGCCTATGGGTGCACATATGAGCGCAAATGCATTTGCTATTTAAACAGTGTGGCGCAAAACATCAAAACGACTTTTGCGCCGAGCTGAAACTAGCAAACAACACTTGTGTCGCGCCTTGTGCCACATTGCGCCGGGTGTATGATAGGGCCTAATGGGTTCAAACCAGGATGATGCAGTTATAGACCATTTTAAGGGATGTAAACAAAAACGATGGTCATGTTTTACATTTTTAACTAGCTTCCGAGAATCCAAAATGCGCCACAGATTGATAATTAACGTAATGATAGGTGTTTTAACATTAGGCTATGACTGAATTTCCTATTGTTACAGTTATAAAGTTGATAACCAGCAGGAAATGTTCAAGGGCCGATGACATCCCCACATTGAAATGGTCTATTGATGTTTTGAAATGCTCTGTTCTTGTAACATGTTTTATTTAAACATTGGTCTGACATCTGAATAAACACTGGGAATAAATATGTCTTGTTTTGGTCATAAAAAGATGTATATGTGCCTTATTGGCACATATTTCAACCAAGACAAAACATTTCCAAGCCACATTAGGTATTTAGTATCCCATAATGCAATGTGCAGAACTTGACCATAATTTACAGTATGATGAACAAAATAGCCGCGGTAAAACTCACATTTAAAGTCCTTCCAGGTGATGGTGGGCTCTGGTCTGCCGACCGCCAGACAAAACAGGTTGACATCTTCGCCCTCATTCACAGATTTATCCTGCGAGATGTTCACTATCCGTGCCGGCACTGAAAAAACAGAAGATTTTAATCAAGATTAAGAAAAGCAGATATATAGAAAATGCTAGGCTGAAGGCAAGACACCGCAGGTGAATTGGGTAAACAAAAGTATTACCAGTTCTCATCAGAATTCTATGGCTGATTGAGTATATTAATGAAAATTGTAAATATTTTTTGAATGACAAGTTTTCTAAAAATGCTAAATAAGACATTATTTGATGAAATCTGTGCACGCTGGCATACATCTCTAGCATACAATGTGAAAACTGGATAAAGTTTATGGATGAAATTCATGTTTGATTTCCTTTAATTGATTTTTTTGTTGCCTTATTAGAGTCAAAGGTTTTACTGTGGTGATTTTGTGAATATTTTTCATAATTGCAGAACGAAAAAAATAGACAATAATTTAAATCATAATAATATAAATAATACAGTATTAAAAAATATGTAAAAAAATAATATATAAATCATATAAATAATACATCATTAAATAATAACTTTAAATTACATATAATAATAATAATAATAATAATAATAATAATTATTATTATTATAATTATTATTATTTTTATATAATTTATTTAATTTAATTTACTTTTAAACAAATATTACGCATAAAATTAAATAAGACATTAGGATTTTTACATGACAATAACAAACACACAAACAAACTACTGAATTACTGTAAAATGCTGTAATAAATTATGACAATCAACAGGGCTCCTATAATTGATAGATTTATGTTTAAATTGAAGTCTATGTTGTCGCATAATTAAAAATTAGAAATAATAATTTCATAAAAGAACATTTTAGAACCATTGAATTGTTTCCATTCTATGCTATACTATACTATACTATACTATACTATACTATACTATACTATACTAACAATCACAAGCATTAATTCTCCTTTAACTTAATCCCTTATTTATTAGGAGTTGCCACAGTAAAATGAACTGCCAACATATCCATCATATGTTTTACACAGCGGAGGACCTTCCAGCTGCAACCCAGTACTGGGAAACACCCATACACACTCATTCACACACATACACTACGGCCAAATTAGTTTATTCAATTGTTTGGACTGTTAAGGAAACCGAAGCACCTGGAGGAAACCCGCGCCAACACGGGGAGAACATGCAAACTCCACACAGAAACGCTAACTGACCAGCCGGGGCTCGAACCAGTGACCTTCTTGTTGTGAGGTGACAGAGCTAGCCACTGAGCCACCGTGCCACCCCTAATCGCAAATATTTGAAAACATCTAAAATGTTTTATATAAATATGCAATTTCCCAGAGATGGGTTGCGGCTGGAAGGGCATTTGCTGTGTAAAAGCGTGCTGGATAAGTCGTCGGTTCATTCCGCTGTGGCGACCCTGGAATAATAAAGGGACTAAGCCGAAAAGAAAATGAATGAATGAAGAAATATGCAAATAAGGCATTATTTAATAAAATGCGTGCACATGTGCATACATTTCTAGCCCAAACATGTTTTTGCAAAATAAAATGCTGTATATGATCTGGCAAATTATGTATGAAGTCTCTGTAAAAACCTTCAGAATACAAAAAAAAAATATATAAAATAAAAATTAATCAGTGAAGTCTGCTGTATGTAAGCACTGCTGAAGTGGAGATTTATCAAAGTCAAAGCAGAAGATAAAAACTCATTTAGAAAACGGCCTTAAAAAAAAGTGTTGTAATTGAAATCCACAGACACAAACTGATCAAGTACGACAAATGACTAAAAGTGCACTTTGAATGTTTTCTTTAAAGGAGACCTATTATACAAGACGGAAAATAAGTCTCTGATGTCTCTAAAGCAGGGGTGCCCAAACCTTTTCTTAGGAAGGGCCAAAAACCAAACCTGATTAAGGGTTGTGGGTGGAAGGTAAATATACCAAACTGTATTACGCCAAAGTCCATGAGTGACTTCCTAATTTATTTAATCATTTTATAACTATTGCTTAGGGAAAAAAGTAGAACAAATTTGTTACAGTAGAAACATAAACAGTGCTATTAATGACACAATGGAGTTCATTGCTAAATACACTAAGCTGCCATCTGCCTTTGCCTTGATTTGCTCTCCCATGTCTTGTGCATTGCCTTCTATCTATTGCGTGACAGTATCAGAAGTATCAGTATCAGATTCAATTCAAATCAATTCTCCTTCATTTCTATAGCGCTTTTACAATGTAGACTGAGTCAAAACAGCGTCACACAGAAGATTGTATTGATTTAAAACAGTGTCAGTTCAGTTGAGTGTGGTTTAATGTATATATGTAATTATATATAACATATATAATTTATATAATATAAATATAATTCTGACTTCAACTGTATATACATATATATATTTATATATTAGAGGTCGCGTTAACCGAATATTTTCCGTCATTGACGAATTTTTTCAGCAGTGACGGAAAAATCTGAAGGTGATCATTTTGACGGATTATGCTGAGGGTGATCTATTGTGATCTGTAGCTAATTGTAATTCCCACTCCTGTCCAGCTGATGGCGATTGTCCTTGTTTTGTCTCCTCTTTGTCACTGCTGCGTACAGCTGCAAAAATGTCACAGCAGCTGAGTGTGAGAAGTTCCTTTAAACAGCCAAATAGTTGTGATATTAATAATAAAGGTGAAAAAAAGAGGACGATGAAGAACAAACAGACAAAAATCCTCAGTCGCCGACAGCTGTTACGAGCCAACCAAAGAGGTCAGGTGCTTTGGAGTGCGTTGTGAGCACTACCGAACGCAGAGGGGTGCAGCCACGCCCCTGGTGCAGAAGGAGCGCGTGTTGTAGTATTTTTTCCCAGTGAAACGAATGCTTGTAGGATTGGGAAATCCCACATTCAGAGAATCCAGCAAACTTAGTTCTGATCACAGCTTTAGGAGAAATGTTTCCTAACCACAAAATGCTGGCTGAAGTGGCGCTAGTAAATCCGGTCTTTGGTCACGAGAAGTCGACTTTCCGAGGCAAAGACACGGAATTTAATGACAACTGCCTCTGCATCAGTCTCCCTTGATGCGTTTGATTTCGCACAGGCAAGCACCCAGTTAAGGTTGACGCAGGAGGAAGATATGAGTCAAGGCAGATAGGAGTTTTTGTTCATTTGTCAAATAAATAAATAAATAATTTAACCTTTATGCTCTTCTTGCAAGTTCCTTATTAAAACATGAATGAAAAAAGCGATTAGAAAGTCTGCAAATTAAATAACGATCAATAACAGGTTATGAGGAATTTTTACAACCCTCTCCGTCAAAATGACGGACAATCAGAAAGTCTAACGCGACCACTGAGATATACACCAGTGCCGATATACAGCCACATCGCACTGCTACGTGTGTGATATTGCGTTTATACAACAGTTTGACGGCATGATTGTGTACATAAAAACAAAATCAAACATGGAGAGTTTCAAAAACCCTTTTGTATGCGGAACTACTTTCTTCCACGTTGGATTCAAATCATAAGCTGACAGTTAAACAGTTGAGCGTGCATCTTTTAAACTTTAGATCTGTAGTGTCTGCTTGTTGCTGGCTGTATGTGGGCGGAGTAATACACAAAGGGTAAAGAGGCTGTACGGATGCTGATATTACTTAAATATATCACAGCTATCAGCCAATCAGATTCGAGAACCAGACAGAACTGTTGTGTGTGTGTGTGTGTGTGTGTATATAATATAATTATATATATATATATATATATATATATATATATATATATATATATATATATATATATATTGTTGGGGGGTGGGGGGCTTGTTGTTTGATTCACCTGTCCCCACCAATGTCAAGTACAAACCTACGCCCTTGTGTTAAACCCCTTAATAAAGTAATTTTTGCATAATAGCTCCTTTAAATAATACAGCAAAACACTTCATGAAAAGCCAAAAAGCACTGAATGTCAAAAATTGACAGGTTTTTGCCTTCAGAGTCTGGCTTTAACTGATGGTAAGAATCAAACTTAGTTAATAAAAAAAAAATGGAATAAATTGGCTGGAGATGAATTGTTTGTTTCAGGGTTTATAAATGATTCCCATCAGCTGTTTTTGCACTAAATTCCCAAAAGCAGAGGGCAGTGCATAAAGCCGGCCAGATAATGAGCCGGTCCTTGAATTTAAATGGCCTGTGATCAGAGCTTTAATGAAGACGGTCAAAAAATCGGCCTGCGAGGCATCCTCAAGCAGTCCATTTTTATTTTTATTTATTTTTTTAGATTTCTAACAGGGCGAAAGACTTCCAATGATGAACTTAGGATTGGACCCAAAGCAGATTCATTCCTGTTGGAGGACTGACTGGGGGGTGTAATTATTTTGGCTCATATCGCACTAAGACTAAAATTGAGGGCACAATGGTATCGAACAAATATGGTCATCTGTCTGCAAAGCTCCGTGTGGAAGATAAAATAAAAGCCGCCTGTGTTTGCTTAGATGGTTCTGCCCTGCCGCTCCGCCAACAACCTGCTTGAGATGCATTCTGAACATGTTTTCCTTCCTTTGGCCTGGAAGAATTATTTCCGATGTTTTTCATTCTGATAATAACAGGGTCAAAGTCGAGACTCCAGATTAAAGTAAACTTGCAAAAGTACATTTATAAAACCCTTTTAAATGCAGCTAGGAATTTTTCACAGTATTTCCTATAATATTTTTTCTTCTGGAGAAAGTCTCATTTGTGTAATTTCAGCTAGAATAAAAGCAGAATAAAGCCATTTTAAGGTCAGTATTATTAGCTATATTTGTTTCGATTGTCTACAGAACACACAACTGTTACACAATAACTTGCCTAATTAACCTAGGTAAGCCTTTAAATCTCACTTGAAGCTGAATACTAATATCTTGAAAATGTCTAGTCTAATAATATGTTCTGACATCATATTAGAAATTGGTTATTAAATCAATTATGTGTAGAAATGGATTGAAAAAAAAATATTATCTCTGATAAACAGAAATGGAACTTATTTGAAATAATTAAAATTAAACGGGAGGGCTAATAATTCTGACTTC